TCAGAGCTGAAATACTTACCCCCTTCTGGGATTTGTTTAAATACTACATGAACAGGCTTACTATTTCCCTGCCTTGAATCTGATCCATGAGGGCATATACACCCCCTCTATCAATAAACATGAGAAGAAATAATGGGCCATATTTATCTAAGGTCAGGAAAGGGTGACGCTAAAGAGGCTGACACTCTTTTTTTATTTTTATTTTTTTAGTTGTAGATGGACACAATACCTTTATTTTATTTTTACATGGTGCTGAGGATAGAACCCAGGGCCTTCCAAATTCGAGGCAAGCACTCTACCACTGAGCTACAGCCCCAGCCCAAGGCTGACACTCTTAAGATTATCTTTCTTTCCACTTATGACGTGTATAGGGCTTTTCTAAAACCTTGCTTCCAGAAAACTACTGCTAGATTTAGTTGCCTTGTTCATTGGGAACACTGAACTAAATCAACTGTGACTCAGAAATTTTTCATGCAAACAGTGTCTTCACAAAAGCATTTGGGAGTGGGTGGTGAAATGAAGAGACCTGCCATCACCAGGAAGTTTCTGATAAAAGTCTACTTGTAAATTGCCATTTCTGAAAATTACTTCAGATACACTGTTGCTCTTTGATAAATCACACAGAAAGTCCGAAAAAAAAAAAAAAAAAAACCCTTGCTAGACCTGATTTGGAAAGGGTCTTATGAATTCATAGTCAGAAATTTAAAGGATGGGTTTCTAGTCTTAATATTTGATGGGGCTTCTGATTTCTAATTTACCTCATACAGCTTTGCAAAAAAGCAAAACAGCACTCCTAACCACTCGTTCCTTGAACAAGAGACAACTTTTTAACAAAGAAGGTTATTACCACAGGAATAAGCATATTATGCTACCTTATCTTCAGAATTGAGCTCCCAGTGTGTTCACAGATTACCAAAGCCCTGCTTTAAATTGCCCTTTCTTGTCATTTGCTAAATGCTTGTTCCCAGGAAGTAGCCAGGAAATTCAAAAGTCAGTGCCTTGAAAATTAGGTTTTCTGCAGATCTAAAGACCCATTAATTAGGTCAAGGCTAATAGTTTCTGCAGGATAAAGGTTTTCTTCAAAAGGATTCCTGGCCACTTATGTATTAGTCATCCCAAGGACAAGCACTCAGAGGAATGGCTGAAGTCAAGTGAAGTCACTATTGGCTGGGAATGGAACAATAGGGTGAGGCCTGGATGCCCCCTACCTTTTGCAACATTTTTGGAGAACCCTAGAGGGTGAGAGGGAGAGGACAAAGTAGGAACATAAGGGTGCTTGTAAAGGAAGCACCTGTACCTCCCTGATTTGTTCTCTTTTGCCAAGGCTTAAAAGAAAAATCTGACAAAGCACCAGACACTTCTCCAATAATGAAGTCAGGAAAGATGAACCACCCCAGACTTGAAGAATAACATTTGTCATGCTCACGTGTAGGCACACACCGGTGCTGGTGTGTGCACATGCATGCTTGCCTCATTGTGCTTGCAGCATGTATTTGCAACATGCCTTGTAGATAATTTCAGAAAAATCTGAGGACTAACATAAGTTGTCACGTCTCACGACTAAACCAGTCAGGGTCACTCCAAGTGAATTTGGGGAATAAATAAAGACATAGACACAGAAAGTACCTTTTCTTTGGGTTCAATGACCGCTCCTCAGCTGCAGCTCCCACAAGGGGGACAAGGCAGGCAAGAAAAGAGAGCGAGGAGCACATGCTGAACTTTTTTAGTGGGGAGAAGCCATTTAAATGAGACAAGGGGTAGGATTACAAAAGAACAGGTGAGTGTAGCTCAACTCCGGTGGGTGATGCCTATACCTGGAGCCACACCTTGCTATCTGAGCTGGGGTAACACCCAAGTTATTGCAGTCTGGCACTATCATGGTCAGTGCCCAGGGCATTAGGACTTGAAGGTCTGCATCCAGGGCAGCTCCCAACAATTAGTGTTCTGGAATTAAAAGATGCTCAAGATATACTTTAATTTACTTTTAAAAGCAGTTTTTCAGAGGTCTCAAAAAACTTAAAGTTGTCTCACTTTTTATTTAAATTTAATTACAAACCTACTGTGGATGGTGCACTCCACTGGGTGATACCTACAGTGTCTTATTTAACTTAATCTTCATAATTATGTTCAAAGTTAGTTATTATTACCCCCAAAGGCATTATTATTCTCACTTTGTAAATGAGTGAAATGGGAAGATAGAGGGTGGTCACAAAAATAAAAAGCTTGGCCATTATTCCTCACAATGTAAAATAATGCCAAAGAAACCTACAATGGTCCATATTACACGACATGTATTCTGTTGATTTTGACATCATTTGGGGAAACCAATCCAATGTAACTTTTTCAAATTGCTTATATTATTTATAGAATTATTTAACATAAAAAGGTATACCCAACATCTAATCATCTAGACAGAATAAACTGCTGATTTGTATGCACCTCACATCCGTGCATATTCATTTGGAAGAGTAGAAGACACTGTGCCTTCATCTCCAGGTGGATACTTGCTGCTATGGGCAGTGGAGGTGTCCTCTCTTCCTGGTGGTCACCTAGGCTGTTACTGTATGTGGCCAGAGACTTGGACTTCCAACACCACAAGAGCAGAGGGACAGTTCATAGCACTACAGTAGCCACAAATGCCATCAGGTATGGAAACCCTAGCCTCTCACACTGTGATAAGACACTCCCTTTTTGAGGTCAGTTTTCCCAGAGGTGTTGCTGTTTATGCTCTTTCCAGAATGGGTATATGCATGGGAAGCAATCCTACTTCATTGAGCCTAGATGTGAGAACTTTGCATGCCCACACCCACCTGCCTATAGATCTCACAGGTAAGCAAATTTTATATAATATCTAATATGTGGATTCTTATAAAACGTGGTGGGATGTAGTTAACTGACACATCAGTGCCAATAAAGGGCTGTGGGCAGAACTAGGAATTATAATCAAAATTGTACTCATACATTTCATACCACGTCATTGAGTTGCTAGTGGAATGACTTTGGAATATTTCAGATAATTTCAGGTGATTTTGATATAAAATTCCTAAAGTGTATGCACTCTGGAGAGTGTCACAAATATCTTTGATTTAGAAATTTCATATGATCAGAATCAGTACCTTTGATTTTTATCAGTAAAATATCTAGCATGTTATAGCAGCAGAGTGGGAATTCTGCTGCAGATGCCCTAAGCATGGGAGTGAGGCTGGAAGCCTGAGGCCAGATGAATGGTGAAATGAGGGTGTGGGGCGTCTCAAGGGGCAAAGGGGAGCCAGCAACTGAGAGGCAGAAAGAAACAGAAGTAGGAGTAATATCTGTTTTAAAATTGTGCTGTGAGCCCTAGATGCCAGATGATATCTGAAAACTTTTATGAAATGAAGTTAGCTAGAGTCCTGTAAACTGTGGGTGTTTTATAGATTTTCTTTTTGCTTTCCTTTTTACTCTCTCTCTCTCTTTTTTCTTTTCTTTTTTGTACTATTTTACTGAATGACCTCCCTAAAAACTTGGTAAAATGACATTCACTTAAAGCCATAGTGAACACAACTGAAAAATGACCCTGGCCCAAGACTCTGACTTGCCTTAAATGTTCTCTTCTGCTTCCTTCTTCACGCTTGTGGGATGACCAGATCATAGAAAACTGAAAAGCTATTCCATTCCCAAACAGTCTGTATATCCAAAGGTCAAATGTTGATTTTTTTTTAAATCCCAGAAACTTTCTTTTTTAAGCAGATTAGATTTAAATTACATATGAACAAACAAAACTTCACAAGTAAATCAAAATAATGACATTAGTGATACACAATTACAGTGCAGACTTCCAGCTAACTATAGAAAAACTTGTGGGCCTTTCAGAACTACAAAATCTGTATTCCCTCATCAGATATTTTTGACACATCATACTTGACTAGAGGAATCTGCACAGAAAGAAGAAATTAAAAATTGAAATAGAAGTAGAGAAGAAGCCCACAGACATTTTTTGACTTTGTCATTTGATGAATGGAAGCTTGAAACATCAGTGAGAGCACTATTAAGGGGAAACTGTTCCATTGAAAGTGTAGTAAAGCCAGGTGCAGTAGCACACAACTGCAATTCCAGTGCCTCAGGAGGCGGAGGCAGGAGGATTGCAAGTTCAAGGCCATTCTCAGCAACTAAGCAAGGCTCTAAGCAACTTAGTGAGACCCTGTCTCAAAATACAAAAATAAAAAAGACTGGAGATGTAACTCAGTGGTAAAGTGCCCCTGAGTTCAATCTCCAGTACTGAGAAGGAAGGAAGGAAGGAAGGAAGGAAGGAAGGAAGGAAGGAAGGAAGGAAGGAAGGAAGGAAGGAAAAGAAAGAAAAGAAAGAAAGAAAGGAAAGAAGGAAGGAGTGAAAACCTCCAAGGGACTGGGAATGTGGCTCAGTGGAAGAGCAATGGCCCAGCAAGCTTGAGGTCCCTTGCACGCGCTCACACACACACACACAAAGTTATTTCCATAAACTGCCCTCTTCTAGTACATACAGATATACACATATAGTTATTCAAATTTGGAGGGAGGTAAGTTGATTATTTAAAAGGTAAAGTTATTTAATCGAAATAATATGTGAAATTATTTTAAAAGTTCAGAAACATAGTTAAAACATCTGAGTCTAAAAACTTCTTTTTTTAAAATTCCCAACAACTTCACATCCAAAATTATAATTATTAAAAGTAATAATACTAGAATACTCCTTAATAATGTAATTACTTTAGATATATTCTTAATGCTCCATATAGCCAGAGAGACAAATAACTAGGAACCATGATTTCCAAAGGTAAAACCTAGGGCTCACCAAGTTTATGTACAGGGTGTCAAAGAGCTGGGAAGAATTACTATCTAGAAATAACTAGAAATAAATCATCTTCTACATGCATTCCCATGTAAAAGAAGATTCTCTAGTTTGAAAACGAATTCTTCAGTTTCAATTCCGTCCTGTTTGTGGAAAGACCATACCCACAGTAAAAAAGGCTGAGTTGAAAATCCTCTTTTATTCCACCTCCAGACCCAAGACCCAGACCCTCTTGAAACAAAAGTCAGAAATTAGAGATAGGCACTTCTTTGTTATTTTGGCTTTTTTCTTCATTTTTGGTGTTTCATTTTTTATCTGAAGTTTTAGCTTATTTTTATTCACAGAAGAAGTCGATATCCTGAAAGAGAAAAAGAGAGAGAAAGAAAAGATTGAACTGAGAAGGTAGGGCCAGAAGACAGATATAAGTTCTTTCTTTAAAATCATATCCAATCAAAGAGAAATCTGGATTTAAAAGAAATAAAGGCCAGACTCCAAAGAATATGAAATAATTACCACTTCAAGTCAAAAGCTGCTTAAAATGAAAGTCCTCAAATAAACTTTTTTTTTAAATTTTTTATTGTTGGTTGTTCAAAACATTACAAATTTCTTGACATATCATATTCCACACTTTGATTCAAGTGGGTTATGAACTCCCACCTTCACCCCATACACAGATTGCAGAATCACATCAGTTACACATCCATTGATTTACATATTGCCATACTAGTGTCTGTTGTGCTCCGCTGCCTTTCCCATCCTCCACCATCCCCCCCCCACCTCTCCCCTCCCCTCCCCTCCTCTCTCTCTACCCCCTCCACTGTATAACCCTGAGGGTCTCCTTCCATTTCCATGCAATTTCCCTTCTCTCTCCCTTTCCCTCCCACCTCTCATCCCTGTTAAATGTTAATCTTCTTCTCCTGCTCTTCGTCCCTACTCTGATCTTAGTTACTCTCCTTATATCAAAGAAGACATTTGGCATTTGTTTTTTAGGGATTGGCTAGCTTCACTTAGCATAATCTGCTCTAATGCCATCCATTTCCCTGCAAATTCTATGATTTTGTCATTTTTTTAATGCAGAGTAATACTCCATTGTGTATAAATGCCACATTTTTTTTATCCATTCGTCTATTGAAGGGCATCTAGGTTGGTTCCACAGTCTTGCTATTGTGAATTGTGCTGCTATGAACATCGATGTAGCAGTGTCCCTGTAGCATGCTCTTTTTAGGTCTTTAGGGAATAGACCAAGAAGGGGAATAGCTGGGTCAAATGGTGGCTCCATTCCCAGCTTTCCAAGAAATCTCCATACTGCTTTCCAAATTGGCTGCACCAATTTGCAGTCAAATAAACTTTTAATTTATGGTTATTTGACAGATCAAGCTTAGTCCTAAGAAGCGCTGACAAGTGAGTGGTATTTGTATAGGCTAGGCAATATTTGAAACACAGTAATTAGCTTTGGGAAAAATCTCTTCAAAACAACTACCGTGCAAAGCAGCTCAGAAAAATCTTTTTTTTTTTTTTTTTTTTTTTTGCCATGAGTTTACCAGAACCCAGGGCTCTGGAAAGAGTATGAGTGCACTTCATACTTGAGTCTATTTGTCACAAAAATAAGGCATTCAAAGATTTTTCTAGAATGTTTTGATTTTTATCAAAAAACAGGTGCTAATCCCCCCCATCTGTCTTTTATAAATATGTGTAAACTGTCAGTGAGAGTCAGTTTATATTATTTTAGTTTCTTTCTTTATGACATGGAATCCTTTCAGGATGATTCACATATAAAACAAAGGAGTACTGTATTGTATGCTTGAAATTTGCTAAGAAGGTAGATCTGAAGTGCTTTAAATACACACATATAAACACAAAAGTAACTATGTGAGGTAACAGATGTTAACCAGCTTGATTGTGATGATCATTTCACCATTCATACTATATCAAAACATCAAGTTTTACCCCTTAAATATATACAGTTGTTACTGGTCAGTTATATCCCCAACAACACAGAAAAAAATAAAGTTAAAACAAAAATAATAAACTTTTAAAAAGAGGGGTGGGCTAGGGAGTTGCAGGAGTATTGCACTAATATTCAATACAAATAGTTGATTTAAATGTCCCCCCAAACCTCACTATTTCTGGCAAGTTGGCATTGGAAATAGAGGGCTTTTCCAACACATCTTGTAGGTCGCATGATGCATTTTTAGCACTAGCCTATATTACCCCAAGATCTGAGACCTCTAATGTTCACTTCTGAGATGCTTACCGTAGTGGGAACTTCTTTGGTGGCTTCCTGGTACACATGTTGCTCCTTGACCAGGTTGCTGGGGAAATAACCCACAATTCCCATTTCATCCTGATGATCACCATAAACCTGAATACCCAAAAGAGGATCAGTTAGGGCAAAACCTGCAGGTATCCTCTTTGCTGATAAAAAGAATTTCGTAACTACTAGCACCTCCCTTTCACTCTGGTTTCCAGGGAACTCAGTCAAAGTTGGAACTTCATTTATATCAGATAAGCCTGAAATCTTTTAGGAATCCATAAAAAATAATAATAAAGTCGGTAATTTTTTAAAGTATTTACTTGAAACTTTTGTTTTAAAGGATATCTATTTCTCAGTATACAACAATTCAAATGAAAGTATACTTGGAATGCATTTCAATCTAATTCTTCATTACCTTAGAACCTCTTTGGGATTGCCAACCAAGATGTAAACCAACCTTGCTTCATCTCTCCCCAGGGTCTGGCCCTGTGTATTTTAACTGAAGAAAACAGATTCTTTGGAATGAAAGTGGGTACTAAAGTTTCCTAAAAGGATATTTTAACTTAGACTAACTGCCAGCACACATATCTTTTACTTGGCAAGTTCTCTGGAACATTTTTGAATAAAATTCAAACTCTTTGGGATGTCCAAGTCCCAATGTTTATGGTTTTATTCTTGCCAAAACATCACATTAACCTGCCTTTGGTTTTGTTATGAAATTACCTTTGATTCTTTAAAATGCAACAATAGCAATACACCTGAATTTTTGCATTTACAATTTCCAATTGTTTTTAACAGTTTTAAGCATTAAAATGGGTTTCAGATAGGTAATTGAGGAAAAATTAAGAGCAACATGTGTGAAGATATGTGTATGTTTTTAATAATCTCATCTTACACTGCCAGCCCAAAACTCTCCAGCTTCATTTTCTTTCACCAGCTTTGAGTAAACATAGATTTGCTGCCCTTTTTTAACATTAATGAATCTACAGTCTGGGGCATTGTAATCTTCTTGAGCACTAGCCAGAGAAATAGTATCTGGAAGAAAAGAAAATTGAATTTACTACATTTTATAAGCATGTTAAAAAAAACAAAACTAGAAAATCAGAGTGACTCACACATCCCAGTTTGCAACTGGGTTCAACTCACAAAGAGTAAGTGAACCAAAATATTAGTGCTGCAACAACATCTTAGAAAAGTGAATTCTCCATAGTCAGACCCCAAGAGCATGGACCAGGATGTGCAATGCTGATAACACAGACATTGAAGAAAATTCACTTGGAAGTACAATTCGATTTTGTGCTGTTAGTGGATATATTGGAGATATATATATATATATATATATATATATATATATATATAATATAATATAACATAATGATAATGAAAAGCATAAAAAAAGAAAAATTCCTTACAGACACACTCCTCATCTGCACACAGCTTCTTGGAAGCAAGTCTCTCCATAAATACTCCATGCACAGCACATATAGCCACAAGACCCAGAAGGAGAAGTAATATTATTCTTGCCATCTTCCTTTCTTTCTGTTTTGACTGACCTCTAGGACTGGAAGTGGGGACTGACTTCAGTGGTTCCTGTCTTTTATGTGAAAACCAGACCTCTGGGCAAATACCCCTGTCCAATAGGAAGGGTCAACCCCCCCTCCCCCGACTCCTCCACCCTGTTTTCATAACAGGCTACTGGACTCCAGCAGCTATTCAGCATTTGATATTCCAAAGAGAGCCAAATTCCATATCATTTTTACACACAAATGATATTCAGAATTGTGCCCTATTGTTAAAGCCACATTTAGTTGTGATTTATTGCATCAATCAACAGGACATTGGTGAAAGGACCATGAGAATTTTAAACTAGTTTTTTAAAAATTATTTTTTAGGTCAGCCCTCATAATTTTCAGTTTATGAGCAAAGATGTGCTATAGAAATCTGTTGAAAATGTGAGAGCTATATCTTTTTTTTTTTACATCTTTATTTTATTTTTAAGTGGTGCTGAGGATCCAACCCAGCGCCCCGTGCATGCCAGGTGAGCGCACTACCGCTTGAGCCACATCCCCAGCCCGAGAGCTATATTTTTACTACAAATAATTTTTTTAAGTTTTCTTTTTAGTTGTTGATGGACCTTTATTTTATTTGGGGGTTGGGGCGGGGTGCTGGGGATTGAACTCAGGGGCACTTGACTACTCAGACACATCCCCAGCCTTATTTTTTGTATTTTATTTAGAGACAGGGTCTCACCCAGTTGCTTAGTGCCTCGCTTTTGCTGAGGCTGGCTTTGAACTTGCAATCCTCCTGCTTCTACCTCCCGAGCTGCTGGGATTACAGGTATGCACCTCTGAGCCCTGCAGTCCTTCATTTTATTTATATGTGGTGCTGAGAATCAAACTCAGTGCCTCACACATGCTAGGGAAGTGCTCTACCACTAAATTGCAGTCCCAGCCCCTAATACAAATAATTTTGATTCAAGCAAATCCAATAATAAAATCTGAATTTATATAACAGACAAGTAAAGGATTCTTATATTTACAAATCCTTTCTGATAAGATTCTTAGAAGTCATGTTTTTCCTGGGCCAGACATACATTATAACATACACCCAGACCCTACCAATAGGGACACGAAGAGATATGTGGGTTGGGGGAAATGGGGTCATACTTTCTTCTCTGTATGTTAGTTTTCTATTACCTGAGATAATAACAAATACCTGAGATAATCAATTTATAAGGCAATGAAGTTTATTTTGGATTTCAGTTGGGGAGTTTTCAGTTCAAGATCAGTTGGTCCCATTGCTTTGGACCTGTGGCAAGGCAGCACACTATGGCAGAGAAAAACTGCTCACCTCATGGTCAGAAAGCAGAAGAGGAAGAAGAAGAGGGCAGGGACACACAGTGTCCTTCAAGGGGAGACCCCCAATAACTACTCCTCATCCTGTCCTTGTGTTTCATAATCCTAACCTTATTGAGAGAGATTATCTATCTTTGAATGCATCTATATAATTATATTAAAAAACATGAATTTACAGTGGAGACTCAAGTTATGATTCAATAGCTTTGAGTTTATCTAGCTTTACCCAGTTGCTTAGTATAATCATCTTCACCAGTTCCATTAACCTCAGTGTATTAACTTTTTGCTCAAAATTCTCATCAGTTACCAAATTCTAGAAAGGAAGGCTTCAAGAGGGTGGAAGGGGAAAAGAAAATTCCATCAAACTAGGATCTTCCGGCCTTTCTTTCTTACCCATCTTTGGGAATGCATTCCAAGTAATGATCGGAGGGAGAAGATGTTATATAATATAATGGGTTTCAATTTTGGCTGTATATTAGAATCATCTGGGAAACATTTTTAACTACCCTTGATCAATGTATATCCCAGATAATTAATCAAAATCTCTAGGAGTGAAACTCAGTCCAATATTTTTTAAATTCCTGGGGTGATTACAGTGTGAGCCAAGGTTAAGAACTAACAAAGCAGATTACTTTTATGAAGGTTATAATAATTAGGTCATTTACTCAAATAATATTTTTCAAAGGTAGTATATTGATGAATAGGATATGGTATAAAACAAGAAATTTGTAAGAAGCATACATCTCCATTTTAAACTTAAAGGCTTATAGAATCTTCTGTTTGAATATTTAATAAGCATTTTATTTCTTGAAAATGTATCCAGTGAATACTAATGAAGACTGTGAAGCCCTGGCTAAAATTTTTTTACTGTATTTGGAGCAGTATTTCTCAAACTTTAATGTGCATATATGAATCACTTGAGACTCTTGCTAAGGTTGCATTGAGTTGGAGAAGTCTATTGCAAAGGTTTAGATTCACATTTAACATGTTTGGGGTGAGGTCTGAGATTTTATTTTTATGAGTAAAGGTCTGAGGAGCATACTGGTGACAAATGGCAGGTCCCCAGAGTCTCTGTCATAATAATTTGTTTAGTGAGTTTTAATTTAATAAAATCTAGGGATTTTCCCTAGCAGGGGAGAATGCATCTGTGTATGTATACATACTTCAGCATACGATTTCAGAGAGATCATGCATTCATAAATATTGAGTGAATGTTTATTTTTTATGTTCCAAGTTTTTCTGGGTACTAGAGTGATGAACAAGAGAAACATGTTCTTGCCTCAGGACTTTCATGGTAGTCTGAGACAAATCACCAAGTAAATAAACCAAGCTATCAGTTAATACATGCTTTTTGACAGTGTACCACAGTTTGGTGATATTGGCATTGGGTTGGAGGAACATACAGAATGTTTTTTTTAAATGTCTATCTAGGGAGGCATCTTGATCAGAAACCTGAATGCTAGTATCTGGAGAAAAAAACATCCCAGGCAATAAGCTTAGAGATCCTGAAGCACAAATGAGTTTAATGTTATCAAAAAAGAGTCATCTGTGAGAAGAAACAGCAAGTGAGAAAGAGAGATGGGAGATGAAACCTGAAAGGTAGAGATCCTACAGGACTTTGGAGGCCACAGCAAGGAGACTGCTTCTACCCTTTCCATTCTCCTGCCTATCCTTAGACCCTACAGGAGTCTCTATTTAATAATTCTTCAGATGGGACATCTATTTGGAAACTGAAGGAAAAAGATGTCATTGGAAGATTAAAGGTGCCCAGAGTACATCTGAAAACACAGAGGAAGGAGGTGAGCAAGCTCCAGACAGACTCTTACTGAACCTCCAGTGACCACAGTTCCTTGAGACAGCTGCTAGGCACAACTGCTTGCTGTGTTATTGAAAGTTCAAATTTCTATTTGCAAATTTTTACCTGACAGCCTCTAGTCTCCATCCTGCCTCTGTCTACTGCAGATGCCTTCTAGGTCCTCCCAGGATGAGCCTAAAAGGCTTGGCATTTCTTTTATTTCTTCACTCTCAAAAGACCAATAAAAACTTCACATTTAGTCACCTGGAATCCCAGAGGCTTAGGAGGTTGAGAGAGGAGGATTGCAAGTTTTAGGCTAGCCTCAACAATTTAGCCAGAATCTGTCCCAACAAATAAAAAGGGCTTGGCAAGTAGCTCAGTAAAGTACCCCTGGGTTGAACCCAGTACCAAAACAAAGAAAAAACAAAACAAAAAACAAACAAAACCCACTTCATGTTAGCATTAACCCATTTGTTAGGCTGTGATAGCTTGAATGTGGCTTTGTCATTTTATTCTGCTTTGGGGGCCTGTACGTCGTGTAGCAATTCGTTTATGCAGTTCCATTTCTTAAGAGTGTCTCTTAACAGCAATTGTCTTTTAACTCTCCCATGTTGAGGATTGGTTTGAGATTGTAACAGTTTGTAAAACAGCTGCCTGATCAGGAATAAGATTTAATTGATGTTTCCATCTTCCCAAAGATACTTTTAGGCCCCTAGATTATAGGAAGGAAAAATGCACCAACATTCTATTTTCAAAAATGATTTCTAATTCATCCTTTCCTTGGCACAAAACAAGAAATAGATTTAAAACCCCAATTCTAACTTGACAGCATGAGATAGCTTTTCTTCACTGTGACCATATACCTGACAAGAACAACTTAGAGGAGGAAAAGTTTGTTTTGGCTCATGGTTTCAGACATCTCAGTCCATTGGTCAACTGACTCCATTGGTCTGGGCCAAAGGTGAGGTGGAACATCATGGTGGAAGGGTGTGGCAGAGGAAAGCAGCAAGGAAGGGGAGGGGAAGGAAAAGGAGAAAGGGGGAAGAGAGGAAAGGAAAGCGAAAGGGTGGGGAAGCTTGAAGCCTTCCAGGGCAAGTCCCCAGTGACCCACCTCCTCCAGCCATGCTCCATCTGCTTACAATTACTGCCCACTAGTCCTTTCAAATTGTTATTCTATTAAATGTATTTATTCATGAATGGGCTTATATCCCTCACAATCCAATAATTCCCTAAATGCTCCACCTCTGAACCTTGCTGCATTAGGAACCATGCTTTCAACAAACTTTTGGGGGGACATTTTAGATCCAAACCATAACAGACAGTGATGAGTGGAAATAGAACTGGACTACAATTTCTGTGTGACCTTGAGCAGGGTGGTTAATAAAGGAAGGTTACTTTGGCTATTGTGTGCCTGAGCTTCCTTGTCCATAATGAAGGTATTAAATAAAACAAGCTTCCAAATCAGGGCCAAGTGTATAAAAGATCCTCCTCAAGAAATAATACAAACACACACACACACACACACCCCAAACCCTTTCATATACAAACAATAAAATTTTATCACATACACATACATATATCCTAAACAATAAAACCTTTTTATTATATTTTGCTTCACTAAGTATCCTTTGGATTTTACCACAAATTATTTAGTAATATGAATTCTTGTCCCTCATTCTGTGAGTTGACCATATCTGGGGGTGAGGGGATGATGAGTTCTGCTCCGAAATCATCAACTAAGTCAGAGAGAGCATCCTGACTGAGATCTCTATTCAAGAAACAATTGATGAGGACAGAGATCCACTTTTACAAAAACTTGTTGTCTTTGTATCCTAATGCTAGAAAAACCTTTGGGGCTTGGGCCTTCTTTAATTCACTGATATATTTCTAGTGCCTGGAACAGT